GGGAATTTAGTTAACAACATCTCAAAGCGGAACCACCAAGTTAGATAAAGAAAAAAATAATCATTGCTGAGATTCGAACCTAAGTCCATCAGATTTGTAAGACGCTCTTACCGATTAGGCCTAGACCTGTGCGGCGCCGGCTCACGCCGGTGCTACCGGTATTTTTATTCCGCCGGAAAAGCCACCGATTTTTATTATGGCGGCGGCGCGTCGTGTGTAATTTTTAGAAAGCATATTAATTATTATATATTAAATTATTATTATTTTAATTTGAATACTAACATTAATAAAATTAAAATATGAATTGTATTCTATTGCTATATATAATACATAATAGACTAGTGAATATCATTTACATTCATTCATACATCATATTTTATTTCCACAAACAATTCATATTAATTATTTTTATGGACTTGCACGTTTTAAACTACCCTATATATAATTATGAAATAACAACTTAAATCAAGTTATGTCTGGAGGTGCTTTGGAAATTTTATTTTTAAAGAATGAAAATAAGAAAAGCACAATAATGCCTGATTAAATTTATTGTGAACCTTGCTTAAAATTGGCGAAAAAGATGAGGAAATTTATTTTTATTTTAGACTTATATTTATATATATTTTATATTTTAGTTATGAAATAAAATATTTTAGTAAAAATATAAGTACAAGTAATCTATCTCGGCACTTAATTAATTATCACAAACTAACAGAAAAAATGAATAATATTAAATCCATTCAAAGTCTAAAAATTTTAAAGCCAACATCAAGATGCAGCAACAATTTAAAAGATAAAAAATGGCTCTTAGGTTAGTATTATTGTTTATTATTATTCATTTAAAATTTTTAACTGGTTTGTAATAGTGTTATAAACGAACGCGTTCAAAATGAACGCGTTCGTGAACGAAGTTCGTTTTTTTGAAAAAAGGTGATGAACGGCGTTCCTTTTTTTGACGAACTTTGAACGTGAACGCGTTCCTTTTCTTTGATGAACGCATTCAATTTTACGTTCGTTCAATTTTAAAAACACTTTTTATTTTTATTTATTTGAAAAATTAATATTAATCCGCATTTTTAACAAAAAAGTCTTATATTTTTATTTATTTGAAAAATTAATATTTAATCCAATTTTTTAACAAAAAAGTCTTATATTTTTTAATCAGCTGTTTTTACTTTTTCCTTTTTCATATTGCAATTAACGTACCATAGTGCTACAGCTAGAGAAGATAAGATTAAAGTTTATTAATTTGAATATTTTATATTTTAATTTAATAGATTAGCATTTGCATGGATATAAATATTTCATCATCAGATTCTGAAAATCAAAATTCAATATTAGATGAATTAGAATTACCATGGCCCAAATATCAAAAATATTTCACTGTTTTAAAATCAATTCCGAGATATCCTTTTTTTTGACGAGGAAGAAGAGGGCAGATTGGAGGATGATAACATAGCTCAATTTTTTGAAACAATGGATAAAACATTAAATGTTTTTAATAAATTCCCCCTTTTAAAAGAATTGTTTACCAAGTATAACACCGCAATCCCTTCATCTGCCCTTGTTGAGCGAGTTTTTAGTATAGCTAACGCTGTATTAACTGACAAGCGTTCATGCCTATGAGATGAAAATTTTGAAAAGCAATTATTATTAAAAATTAATAAGAAATTTTTTTTATAAATTTATTTTTTTATCGCTCTATTATATTGTATTTATAATTATATTATCAAAATAAAACTATTATTTTTTATCATGGCTAATATATTTTGTTGAAAAATATAAGGCATTTATTTTTATTAAATTAAATTTAAAAAAAAAATTATCATAAAATTTTGAACGTATGAACGCGTTCATAAACTTGAACGCGTTCCTTTTTTTGAATTTGAACGTGAACGTGAACGCGTTCGATTTTTTTAAAAATGTTTACAGCACTGTAATATTAATTTTATTAAGCTTTATTTTGAAAGTTCAAAACAACCAAATTTTTAGTTTATTTATTGCCAGCTCTATTTTGAGATCTTTTAAGTATAAACTTAATATATAATTTATTAAATTAATTATGTAAAACTTTATTTTGAAAGTTACTACTAAATCAAATTCATAATTTGTTTCATTCCACCTAATTATTATATTTTTAAATGTCTTTTTAATGTATAAACTTAATATATAATTTATTAAACTAATTATGTAAAACTTTATTTTGAAAGTTAAAACTAAATCAAATTTATAATTTGTTTCATTCCAGCTCTAAATATTTGGATTTTTAAATATCTTTTAAATGTTTAAAATAAATATGAAATCTAATAGGGCAAAATTATGTTTAGATATGCTTAGATTTAATGCCATTTGATTCTAAAAACAATAGGAATGACAGATTTTCTAAAGGTTTAAAATTTATATGAAATGATTATTAAAAAATAAATTGCCTAAAAAATAGAAATATAAGATAATTGATTCCTCTTCTGAATTACCAAATAGGACAACCATTATTCGGGGTGCACTAGACGATGTTTATTTATCTATAAAGGCCCATGTTTTCAATCTGATTGATTCTGGACCAAAATTTTGTTCTATCACTTTTGTTTATAGACAGATCTTTTCAAGCGTTATATCACATTTAGTCTTCATCATTTAGATGAAAATTTTGATTTAAAATATTTTACCCTAGCAACTAGAAATGTGACTCAAAAGCATACTGAGGAAACAATATTATCTGAGATTGATAGTATTAAAGAGGAGTTCCATTTGAAAGCTAAAATAATACAAATGGTAACTGATGCTGGGGCCAATGTCAGAAGAAGCGTCAGATTAGGGGATTATGAGCATCATTTATGCTTAGAGCATGGACTTTATAATTTGGTTACAGCTGATGGCATAAAAAAAGTTACCAAAATTGTTATTCTCATTAAAAAAAATTAGAGAAATTATTTCAGCCTTCAGATATCGAGTAGCTGATTTGGAATGTGAAATTGAGGCTGAGCACCTTAAATATCTGCAGTCAATTTATGACAGGTAATATCTTGGTTATTGATGATTCTGATCCATACCTTGATGACCATTTTGATATGTCTGATGAATCGGATAATAGAAATGGAATTGCACCAACCAATCTAATTAATGCAAAAACTTTAAAATTAAATTGCCCTACCCGCTGGCATAGCATATTAATTATGCTAGAAAGTGTTCGCAGTGTAAACAAAATTCCTATAAATTTTTTTTTATTCAATTAAAATAATATTAAAATTAACATATCAAATCTAAAATAAAATAAAACATTATTTTATAAAAACGATGTTTTTTGGGAACTTGTAGTCCCACCTCCGTTTTTTAAATAATGTTTATTCCTTTAAATAATTTTCTAAATAGAATAGGAAAACAATCTTTAAAACTCTTTAATAATGAATGGGATATGATTAATGAGCTTTACGCAGTATAAAATCCATTCCGAGAGTCGGTGGAATTTAAGCTCATATATACATCAATAGATCGGATTGCTCAGATATTATATGCTTAAAAGAAAATATGAAAAAAAAGCTTGACCATAGGATTCCCATTACTGAACTTTAAGTTATTTTTATTAATAAAATTATATTTTAAACATTAGATATTAGCAACTCAACTCAGTTTTATAATCTCAAAGTTGTTTCAAGAATATTTAAATTCTAATTCTACGACATCATTGCAATTTTTAATTTGACATTTAAAACTTTTAAAGCATGATAGAAATGCACAGAGTGAAATTCAAGTTGAGGATAATGGTCAAACATCAAGCTCTTATATAGTTAAATTAGCTCGTAAACATTGCCTTTCAAGTAACGATTATAACAATATTAGTAATCTAGAACAAGAATGCCATATTTTGCTCAGCCAAAATACTATCCCAGAAGAGGATGCATTAATTTTTTGGAAGAAAAAACGACTGGAACTTCCTATGCTTGCTAATTTAGCAAGGAAGGTTATTTGTATTCCTGCAACCACAGTGCACCCAGCGAAAGAATTTTTTTCATTTCTGGATTAATACTCAATGAAAAAACTTTTTTATGCCCCACAAATCTTGATAAAATAATGTTTATTCATAACAATTATCATTTTGCTAAATCTGAATTCTGACTTATTATATTTCATACTTTATATTTTGCTTGCATTCCAAATTTATTTTAATTATAATAAAAATCAATAAAATATTTCTTATATGTGTTGGTTGATGTGACTCTGATCTGAGTAAAAATACAATTCCTTAGTCTATTTCTGAGAATGAGAAAATATATAAATTTAAATTAGAGTGAGACAGGAAATTATTTATGATCAATTAAACTATGTTAACAATGTGTTAGAAAAGATCGCCCAAATAAATTATAAAAAATGTAATACATTAATTTATAAATTAAGTTCATTAAAAAATAAATTGATTTATAAATTAAATTCATTAAAAAAAATTTTTAAATAAATATTCCGCCGCCGCCGAACGCCGATAAAAAAATTTAAAGAACCACCGCCGTCGATTGAGACATCGGCGCACGACACTTTTCGAAATTCACGATGATGAAATGGTTTTTCAGAAAAAAATCATAGCATTAAAAAATATCAGTGTCACAATTTAATATCTCAAAATTACCGATTTTTTAAATATATATAATATAAATTGTGAAAGTGTGACTGTCAAAGTGTGACAAGGCTTTTATATATATTATAGATAAAATGAATTTAATATATATAATAAACCGTGTTTTGGCTGATTATTTTTTGGCACACTTAAAAATACAATTGACTTTTTTTCGATAATTATACAGCATATAATTATCATGATTTTTTTTTACTGTTTAAATTTTTATAAGAATTAATTGTTCACACTATTTTTATCTCGTCCGTCTCAATCTCAGAAACCAATAATTTTTCTTTAAATTTGATTAAGATTTTGCATCATTTCATATAAGAATGGGTCTTAATACTAACCCTACATAAATCATTTTCTTTTATGTATGCTTAAAAATAAAAAGAATATATTGAAAATGTTACAAACCCACTTAACTCATTTGGAAACTATATCCTCGTATTCGAAAGAAACGAATGATACAAAATGGTTTAAAATTTTTGACACATCCACCATGATTATACAATCATCTCCTTCTAATGTCGTGAAAGAAGAAATTACCGTTAAAGAAAAGATAGTTGGCATTAACGAGGTGAACATCACGAAAACCGACGAAGAAATTCTTATCAAAGGGAATATAACGAAGATGACTAGGAAAGCTATTGATTCCCGACCTAAATCCCGTCATAATACATCATGTCCTATGATAATTACTAAAGAAGAGTTCGAGGCTATTCCAAGGTGGGTAATGTGACTTAAATTCGACATTACTTATTTATTATTAAAGATCATATATATTTTTCCCCTATACGATAGTTACATTGATTTTTATTTATCATCTTTAAAATAAAAGGTAAATATTTTTTATGCACATTAACTAGTTTTAAACTTTGTGAACACCTTAAAATTTTTCTGTTTATCATGACCTACTAATGATTAACTATATTTTTGTTTTTTTATTCCCGTAAGGTTAACCATCTGATTTAAAATGCAACGTTTATTGCTGAATGTGACTCATTAAATATTTTTAAATCCTCTTCTTGTTGCAATATATATAATTAAAAAAATATATTACATTTTTTACTACTTTTTTGATTATTTTATAACATAAAAAATTGAATTTTAGTTCCTTCTATTCATTTATTATTAAAATTATAAAAAATATAATTTTATGTAATATAGAATAACCAAAAACAATGAGAATAATTAAAAAAATGAGATATTCTATCGGTTAAATCATTAAATAATGTAATGATCTAATAAACTACCTATCAAAATCAGTTAATTTCATTATACAATATAGTCATGAGTTTTGAATACATATAATTAGGACATATCGGATTGGCGGCGACACTATTATAAATAGGATGTTGATGATATTTTGAAATTTTTTTAATCGGATTTTACAAAATATTATGAAAATTTAACTAATATTTTGTAATTTATGAAGAATTATATTTTTTATTGAATCAAACTTATTTGACACTAATTTTACTCCTAATTTTTTAAAGTTATATGAAAGGACGATTCAAATTAGGAGAAATAAACGATTTTTTTGAAAAAATTCATTTCGCTCTCATCAAAAAATACGAGTTCTTCGAAAATGGCTCTAAACCCGGGAATTTTAAAAAATTGGGCATAGAAATGCAAAAACTATATCGGGAGTACAAAAGTAAAATTTAAAACAAAATATAAATTGTTTTTCTGAATAAATTTTTTGATGTTGAATCGACACTAACACTATTCAGTAGATAGGTTTCTAGTTGTATAAGTATCATCTGTTTGAAAATAAATTTTATGCAATGTAAATTATTAGGGATGTAACATAGAGGAATTTTTTCAGGAAACTTCGAAATTTTTCCTATAATTTTCCCAATTTTATTTTATGTTTTTTTGATCACATAAGGATTATTATCATATTTTGGAAAAATATTTTTTTCTCTTGGTTCATATATCAACATTGTGTTTTGTTTTTGTATGTACGTCATCTTCAAAATATAATAAAAGCTCAACTCGTAATGTTTATCGGAAGAATTTTTTTTAATAATTACTGAGATAAGGTTAACGAAAAGAATTAAAGTATAAAAAGATATAGAATAGGGTGGGCCAACTTTCTCTTCTAATTTTAATTCAACTAATAATGATTTAAATTTCTGAAAAATTGATATTCTTTCAACAATTTTTATGTTAAAAAAAACAACATTTAAAATGCTCTTAAGATTTTTGTAAAAATTTATTGAACACTGAATTTGATAGGATTAAATATAAAATCACCGAAAGATAAGATAGACTGAACCTACCTTTGGAATATAAAGCCCAATATGCATGCTAGTGAATTTAATAAAGTAATTGAAGAAATAGGAAACACTAAATTAGCATCATAATGGATAATGCAGGAAATGAAAAATCCAAGTATCATTTGAATTGGATCTGCAACTCATTGACTTAATTTGCTATTAAAGGATCTAGTAAATAAAACATTACCAATTTAAATTTTAGTAGTAAAAGCTGGTGATAATTAGTAGTCTCTTAAAAAATAAAAATATTTTACTGTAATACTACATTACATAGAGCTAAGAGATTTAATCTTCTTGATGATGAAGTTTTTAAATGATCTTGCACATCTATGCAATTTTATAAAGTCATTTCTACACAAATAGAGGAAGTTGAAGCGGACAAATGAAACTTATCTGGTGTTCAAGCATTTATTTATACCAGGGAAATCTCTTACGGAATAACAATTTATAATAAACGAAAAAAGTTTTTGTTGCCGGGATATGCACTACCCTGTTCATATATATTTGACCCAAGATATTACGGATTTAATTTTAATAAAGGATTAAATGTTATTAAACCTATTTTCTGGATACCTAGATTTAGATAATACGAGACAAATGACGAATGGTCCCCCCCCCCCCATTTTTCCCCAAATTTCCTTAAATAACCTTAATTATATATTTTCTACTGATTCCATTCTTATGTCAAAGAACCATCCTGTGATATCAGACAGTCTAGATATCCCCAAACTTACTTATCTTTGGCGAAGCGGTTACATTTATCGTAAATAATATTAGTTAATATTAATTTACTATGGTTACTTTAGTAAAAAAAATGCTTAGCTTATACTTATTTAATTATTAGGAGGGGGGATTTGTGATTCCCTCATGAGTGGTATTTATGAGAACTTGATTATTTTATAATGCGTTATAATATTTTTGCTTTAAGGTTCTGCCAATTTGATCCCATGCCAGTTCGTTACTCAGCACGATATCAATCGATACGCCCATGCTAAGCTGGATAAAAAAAATTTGCAATGCATCGTTATTTTGAGACACCTGAAGAGGGTGAAAGAATTTAGGAACAAAGGAGGAAAGGAAATAAAGTATGCCATCGATTGATCACGAATATTATATATAGGGGATGTTTTTCATTCTGCAATCGTGTATAAAAATATTATTGCTTCTTTTTATAACTGCTGTTACATTTGACGACTAATTATTATTTTAAATATAGATTTTATAGTGGAAATCTAATTTGTTATTTATTAGTATATTATAAAATTATTAACACACATTAAACATGTTAAAATTAGAAATATGTAGTTTTGAATAATTAATAAAAGCACATATAACATATTCATAGTACCCATCTAATATCGGTATAAAAAAAATTGTTAGTCATAGAATGGTTTTTTTTATTGATATATATTCTTCATTCTAATTTTAAAAAAAATGAAACCAAAAGAAATAATGTGAGTTTCTATCAAACAATGAATATCAGTTTATAATTATTTTTTAATTCTAATGTCTACTTAAAAAATCGATGCTAATTCATGATATTAACTGTAAATTTTATATTAAAGTGTTAATCCTTCATAATATATTATACTTTAATTAATAATAAAAAATAAATAAGAATAGTTCACGTTATTTATAAGGGGATGAGTGTTTTCAAATAAGTTTTTTTAAAAAAATTATTACAATTGAGATTGCAAGTACATGTATTTCATGCATAATCTGAAACAACTTTTTCTCAAAGAACCATCGATTAAACAATTCTTTTTGCAAGATTCGCCAAACTTTTGTGCTGTTTCATCCTTGTTAACGATTGGTGAAGTTTCTTGTAGAATATCTTGTTGTGCTGTTTCATCCTTGTTAACGATTGGTAAAGTTTCTTGTAGAATATCTTGTTGTGCTGTTTCATCCTTGTTAACGATTGGTGAAGTTTCTTGTAGAATATCTTGATGTGCTCCCTCGCTATTGTAATGCCATCCTGTTTGCGGATCTGGTGCGGATGGACAAGGCTGTGAATCGGGGCACGGTTGTGATGGAGCAGGGCAAGGTTGTGAAGGAGAACAAGGTTGGGGGCAAGGGTCGGCTTAATTGTTTTTTAATTTTAGCAGAAATTTGAGTGACAAACTATTAATTTATTTATATAATATAAGAAAATAAATTATGTGCTGATTTTTAGAACCAAAATTATAAAAAAAATAAATAAAATACATAACCATCTTAGATTATCATTTGCAGTCGCATAGCTAGGAATTTTCCTTAGAGGGGGTCCATACATTTAAAAACCTGGGCTTCGGCCCTTTTGCTCGGCCTTCAGCCGGGTTTATCTTAAAAATCATTAATCATATCTTCGATAATATATAATTATTTTTTAAATGCATCAATAATATGTTATTATAATTTAGTAAATTATTCTCATTGACTTTATAATAATACTCTCCAGAATAATTTCAATAGTAATAATATCCTTCCACACACATCAAAACCAGAAAAATATATATATTTATTTGATGAACGTATAATCTAAAAAAAAATTTTTTGCTCTGGGAGCGGTCCAAACCCGAAAACCACCCCCATAGCCGCCACTGATCATTTGGGTATTTTTTAAAAATCCTGTAAAATAAAAATCTCTGGATTTTTGATTTGGAAAAAATACTTAGAAATTGAATAAATATTAAATAAAATAAATTCCTTCTTTAATCGAATTGTTTAAGGAATACTTCATTTTACTAAGTAAGTTGTGTGAATTAAAATTCAAATTGTTTCAAAATGTAAAAATATTTCAAATTAAAAATATTTTTTCTTTTTTTTTCATAAGAAAAATTTGAATTTTATGGTGAATTATTTATTTAAGTTTTCCGGTCTTTATGATCTTCTTAAATTCAATGTCAACCCAAATGTAAAGAAAACTCTTTCATTTAGTGTGCTAGTTGCTGGACCAAATTTTTTTTTAGCCCGCGTGGAAAGATTAGGAAGTTCGATCCACCTTTTCTCTCCAGGAATTTGGAACATCCACATCTTGTGAATAGCGTTTTCCAAGAAGAATATGATATTCTTGTTCTATTTCATTTAAGATGGAGTAATAATTTATACTGATTGTTGAATGTTCAATGGGTAATTTTATAAAATATTTTGAATTTAATATGTTATATAATAAAGACGCTTAACAATTTTGATCTATTATATACTTTAACCCAATTTTTAATTTTTGAAATCTGAGTCTAGAAAAAGATAAAACCTATTTATAAATATATGAACATAATATATTATTACTTGCAGATCACAAACTGGAAATCATATAAACTTTTTAAAGTATATTTTACTTTAAGGAAATGATTTCCGAACTATCATTAACATTTACTATTAAATTTGTTTCATTTCACTTCTAAAAAGTGATACTAAATTTAAGGTAAGTATTTTTGTGCAATAGAAATTCAATTGTTTTTTTGAATTTTGAAATAAAAGCTAATAGTTCTACTAGATCTGATTTATTTGAGTTAGTGTATACCAATTTTTTTCAAAACGTTATAAAGTATTCCTGATATACTTTCAAGCATATAATATACTATGCCACCTGACTGGGACATTTAATTTTAACGTTTTCATATGAATAGCTATTGTTAGTATCATTGTAATACCAATTTGAAAACCCGGGTATAGATCAGTGCTATCAATATCTTGCATATCTGATGTTAGATCTATTGTACTTAATTCAATCTCTGCAGTTTTATATCTTGGAGCAATAATAATTTCTCTTATTTTTTGATAAGATTTTCAACAAAAGGTATTTAATACCATCCACTGTAACCAGATAATGTAAATCATGACCCATACATAAGTTGTTTACTTAATAAAACACCTTTGTCTCCATTTTAATAATATGTAAAATCACAGTGACTTTTGGAATATTTGATTTTTGATTAATTGAATTCAATGATTTCAAAATGATTGTGTTAAAATAGGTATAAAATAAGAATTCATCAAAATCATGATTGGCACAAAAAATTAACAATAGCGAGGTTAACCAACTATTAGAATAAAAATGTATAAAGAATAGAAATTATTTAAAAAAATTTTTGTACAGGCCATGCGCCGCAGATTTCATAAACGGCGTTTTTGATGTGTTGGCTGGCCGGTGCATTCTATTAAAACCCTTAATCGTGCTCATAGAAAGATCGTTTTCAGCATTAAAAGTCATGAAATATACATTCAATCAACATTAGGCAGGAACGTTTAGATTAAATTTGTTGTCTCTATTGAACATTGATAAAAAATTAAAAATATTTCTATTGATTCAATAATAGGCGAATACGCGATAACAGGCGTGTACGCAGCGGAGGGGGGCAGAGAGACAACCCCCCCTCCCCATTGATAAAATATTTAGATGCCAGCTATTATTTAAGAAAATTAGAAAATTCTACCTCTTATATATATTACAATTTACATTCATAGCAGAAGTAAATACATTACTAATTTATTCCACGTTTATCAACCATTTTAAAATTACCCACTTGAAACGTTTTCACACACTTAAGTATAATATTTCAAAAAAATTAAAATTGATTTGATTGAGACTGAGAATAAATGAAAGTATTATGTTGAAACTCAAGGAAATTTGCACGTTGACGAATTTCATAATTTATGTCATTGTTGAGTTAAAAGCAAAGCTTTATGTATTTAATATTTGTCTAACTAGACTTTCAAAGTTAATCATTCCAATATTAATATAGGATGAGTCTAGTGTGGTTAAGATGCCCGATTCGGGTCATTTTAAAAACGACTCGTTAAGATTATATTCAAAATAATATTATGTAAACCTGGAGATTTTGTTCATAGATGACTTTTCTAAATGTCGAGGCTACATCCTTATTTTAGCTAAAATCTTATCAGGTCATTTTCAAAAATCGGCCTTTTTAACAACACTAGGTCCAGTTTAAGTATATTATGAAATAAATCTCCCACTTTGATACTTTATAAACTCAAATGAATGAAAGTCTTGATTAATCAGGCTGCATTTACAAATCTTCAAATATTATTACCGCACATAATCCTTCCGTTTATTTCAAATCTTGATATGGAAAAAATTTATAATTTGACAGATTTTTATTCTGAGAATATTTAAATTATTCCATGATGTGGTACTAGCTGTAGGCAAACTGCTATAAAAGGTTAAATATGATTGATAATGTTCCAAAAAATGCTACAAATACATTTTAGCCTATTTCCCAAATATATAAAATTTTTTATATATTCAAATATATAAATTTTTTTATATATTCAAATATATAAATTTTTTTATATATTTTGGCACTACTCATAGTACTTCTACCAATTAAAGAACATTTTTTTATTTAGCACAAATAAATACTTGAAAAACAGTGTTAAATGGCTCAATTTGAGCCAATTTTTTACGTCTAACACAAAATTTTCATCAAAAAAATATTACTTAAACCTCAAAATTTTATCAATAGAGTCAAACCTTTGGCTATCTATAAGCAAAATTTTCAGACTGTGCAATATTTTTCGATAAAATATTGAGTTAGCCTTTTTTAAAATTGGCTCAAATCGAACCGTTTAATATTACTACTGAGAAATACTACCTCTAAAAATAAATTAAATGGGTTAACTCTTCTTAATCAACAAGGGAATTGACACCAAGCACTTTTGAAATCATTGAAAAATTAGAAATGAAATTGAAATTTATTTACTAAATTTATAATATGCTCCCTTCTTAGGAATATTTTTGAGCATTAATCTATATTTCCAACAACATATTTTTTAAATATTCTTTTCTTATATTTACTCAAATAAAACAATCCCATTTAAAAAAAATTAAATTTTTATATCATATTTTAAAATGCTTAAAAAATTTATATTTTTAAAAAAATTTATTTTTCGAGACATTTATTTTATAATGATTCATACGTCGTTAATATACATTAAATATTTTATTATTAATTTATATTTCTTTATTCTCAAAATTGTTAATATTTTTTAGTCACTGGTTATAATAAATTTCTGAAATTTAACATATTCTTAAATAACTCCTTGAATAATTCTAAAAATATTTACCCCCCCCCCCCTCCCCAGTTTGAAATTTTTTATTACTTTTATAATCCTCGCAAATAATAATCTTTGATAGAATGAATAAATAATATATTATCTTGGCACAACTTACAAAATGTTTTGTACTTTCATTATTTTATTTTTTACAAAATATCTGTATACATGTGAATAACAAAAGAAAACCCAGCCGAAGGATAGAGAAAAAAGGATCGCACGAAAAATAGAGGGAATGGGATGCAGAGCTCCCCATAATTTTTTAGTTCAGCTCTAGATGGCAAAGGCTAGTGAATCTACTGGTCTATATGTTAGCCTCAATGTGTTTTTTTTGGTTAAATTATTTTTTGAGCCTTTTATTTTAATTTTAAAAATATGATTATGCTGGGATAGACATAAACTTAATATAATTTATATTACTTTTTCTACAGATTTTATTATAAATGACTTAAAAGTTAAAGGTAAAATTGTCCGAAATTCACAGGGTAGTTATTCCAGTTATGTTAAAATACATTTCCAATAAAATAAGATTTTTAAAATTTGAAAACAAAAGATATATTAAAGTTGGAAGAATATCACTTTGATGGAAAAAGCACATTGACGATAACATATAAACGACACATTTAAAATAATATATAATATAATTAAATAATATCGTCATAAATTGCGTAATACATTCCAAATATCACAATACCTCTCTCAGAAGATTTTCTTAATTATTTATTTGAATGATAGTATAACAAAACTATATAGTAAATCAGACAAATATTTTTGAGCCAGGGTACGCTTATAAATTTGTTCTACAACATAAACTTTATAGTAGAAATTAATATTGGGAGATTAAAATCCTTAAGATTATAAACCTGTGTTGAGAATAGGTTATAAAAATTCTCTGGGCAGCGTCTACATGACAGGATTTTCACTGGATGCAAACTTCCTTCAAAAACTTATGCCTACCTAAAAAAAATTAGTCGCCTTCGCCGGCGATATTTCCCCATTTTTAATTTCACCTTTAAGGATACTCTATCAGAAAATTTAAAAAGAATAACTTAAATTATTTTATCTTTACTACCAACTATCGACATTTTGTGGATATAAAGGAGTTATTTTTTAGATAATAAATTCATTTAGCATTACTAGTTTGCTGAAAATGTCTAAACCTTTTAAATTGCATTTTTAAGGATAGCAAAAAGTTTAATTTGGAAAATAATGTCTATGATCGTTCGCAATATATAAACTTGGTTGATGAATTGTATTATAATAGGTTTAAAATAAAAGTATTAATTTTTATAGCAATAAATTTTGTCCTGTTTGATCTCAAGATTTAATAGATAACCCCCCCCCCCCCCAAAAAAAAATGTATCCTACCCACATTAAAGCCGCCTACCCCCCTCAAAAAATATGCGAAGTAGACGCTGTCTGCTGTAAATTTTTGAAAATAAAATTGCTGTTTCAAATATCAATGAGTCAATATTATTAATTTTTTAGAATGTTACCAGAGCCGCTGCCCTCATAAAGTAGGTGTTTGAGTTGAGATCGGTTTATAATATAAAGATTATAAAAATCTTGAATAGAATTAAGCGGCATATTGAAATTAGTGCCAAATTGAATTTTATTTTATTCTCTTATTAGTAATTATAACTCACCATCGCAAAGGTTATTAATGCAATCTACTTTTTAAATTATTAACCAATCCAAAATGTCTGAAAATAAATCAAAAGCTCATTAAGGCAGGACAATGGTAAGACCTTTGGCCTTCCGGTGCGAAAATAATTTCATAGCCTTAAGAAAAAGAAACCCAAAACAAAATTTGCACCAAGAAAATCAAACCACAAGAACCAGGCGTATGTTGTGTGGCCGGGGCTAATGTCCCGTTCTGTTCGCATTGGCTTGTATTTATGATACACTCAAATTCATAAATAATTATTAAAGGCTACACATTTTAGTCTAATATTATTTATTGTACATGATCTATGTCTAAAAATCTTCTATTCTTTTTTTTTAAAGTTTGGATTTACCTTAACTTTAATATTATCTGATTTATATGTAAAATTTAGATTATTGAATATAAAAAATAATCACTTAATTTTAACTTACTCCGAACCTATTTCCCTAGCCTAATTTTTAAAAAATTTAAATATGATTCCAACAAAAATAAAAACTGGTTCAAGTCCCTGGTAAAAAAAATAACACAGATACAATTGATTTATTAAAGAAACAACTATATAACACCTTACTACTAATAATTTAATTTTTTAACACGATAATATAAAAAAGAAAGTAAATTCAATTGATATTTATGATCTAGGTTTTATTTATTATTTTTACTGTAGCAGTCGAATCCCGAATAAGAAGTACTAATCGGATCAAAGAATAAACTTGCTGTAATTATGTAAAATACCACTATTTTGTATTGTATTGAAACCATGATTTTAATATTATTTCAATCTTGTATTCCTTTTTTTCTAATACTTTTTAATACCTTTATAAAAATAATTCAAAAAATCGACTTTTCTTTATTATGAAAATAATATAAATTAATTTATGTGATATATTTCATAAAACCATTAACATGATTTGGGATTAATAAATTTTATATCTATACCAATATAATTAATTATATACAATATTATAGTAGAATTCTGACGAAAATAAGTAAAGTAGAATACGTGTAAATTCTTTAATTATCGCCTTCTTCAAATATTTTTTTTTTAAAAATTTTGAAAAACATTTACAGGTCATGTGTACTATTTAAACATTTTAGCTCTTCCCTTCTTTCTAATTTTTCAAATATCAGGATTTAAATTTTTTTTAATTAATTTTGCAATTAAGATGAACAAAAATTATGATAAATAAGGAAGTATTAAAAATTTATGTTTTATTATCTTTTAAAAGAGTAGAATAAATCATTTTTTAAATATTAAATTTTTTAGAATATTAGCGCATATTTGCTTATTGACCTACGATATGCGAGTTTAGAACATATCTTAAAATATTCCAGATTATGTGACTTTTTTCTTCTTGTAAATCATAAACAGAATGAAATTTTTCGTTTTTATTATCTATGCTTTTAAAGAACATGATATAAAAAATTTTGTATTACTTATTTTAATTTTTAACTTATTATTGATCTTATTATTTAAAAACTAGAAGAATGACCAAGTCGGTAAAATTTTAAGGATTATAATGTATAAGTTTAATAATAATGGTGGGGTACATTTTCCAAAAACTATATAAATTTTATATATATGTTAGCGTCAATGTGTTTTCCAGCAATGTATTATTTTTTCAACCTTAAATCATTTTTTAAGCCTCATTTTTAAAAATTTAAAAATCTGATTTTATCGGAAGTGTATGCCGTCATGTTTGGAATACCTACCATGAATTCCAGACAATTTTTCCATGAACTTTTAAACATAATATAATTTATATTAAATTTTTCATATATTTTTTATATAAATTATAAATTACTGAATGGTTAACAGCAATTGTCTACAATTCATAGGATAGGTATCCCAAACAAGATAGAATACATTTCCGGTAAAATCAGATTTTAATTTTGAAAACTCGCTCAAAAAAATGATTTAGAGTTGTAAAAATAACACATTACTGGGAAAAACACATTGACGCTAACATATATACTCGGGTCATATTTTAGGTTCAAAAAAGAAAATTCCTATTAATCACAAATAAATTGTGTTTCGGAGTATAAAACCAGTTAAAAGATTAAGCAGAAGTCGAGTCACATAATTTTTTCATCAAATGTTAATTTTAAAAAGAAATATACTTTATAAAAGAATTCAAAAATGTAAAGTGTTTTGTAAAGGAAAATCAATCACTTTGATTACCTAATAATTTCCTAGCGATATTTTACTTTAAAATATTATTGTATTCATTCCATAATTAAATCATATCAGGAATTAATATAAGGGAATATTATTTTTTTAGTCTCATACCGTTTTTTTCATAGGGTTAGCATTTTGCAAACACTGTCTTTGAGAAAGGATACTGTGAAAGATTAATTTATTTTACCTATCAATTTTGGCAAAGGTAGAGTTTGAGTGAGTGATATTAATCCTTAAGTATTAATGTATCATGCTGAGATATTTCTATGGAACGGTGTTGGGTTTTCGTTAAACAGAAAGTTAGGTTGAATTGGTTATCGAATTGAAACCAAAAATATAAGGTGTTTTCCTTAGCAAGTTTCAAATAGTCCCTAGTTGATGAATGTGATTGAAATAATTTGGTGATTGTTACATGCTACAAATTGAAATAAACTTAATCCATTTTTTTTAAATATAAAAACTAACCTTAAAATTATATTATTGCTATCCTAACACTAGCGACTTATATCAAATTTATTTCAATATTTTTTATTGCGCAATATTGGGATCGAAATTATAACTGTGTCCTAGTTCACATATAGCTACTCTCATTTAAAAAAATATTTATTTGACTATTTTTAGTATAACAATGTTTTTTCAAATAGTTTCAATATAAATATGGTGAAAGGAACTATGTTTTTAAAGTCATTGTAGCGTTATTAAAATTGAATTTTTTTATAAAATATTTGCAAAAAGCTGCATATTTTAGCACAAATATCTATTATATTAATTCTTTCAATATAGGTATATCTCATTGTATTTTTATTAGTTCTAATCATCTAATATCAAAATTGCTTATCACATAAAATATATTTCTAAATTCGTTATATATCATTTTCTAATTTATTCTATGCCATCATTCACATAATCTTGCGTTTATTTAATAATAATTTATTATCTAACTTGCATAATAATACACACATTGATTGATTAATATAGTCAAATCGAATCAGGCTCTATAAAAAAATATTTTATCTTCCTAATGTTTTTATGAATATTATTTTCAAGAATAACTATAAAATTGTTTATTTTGCTTGAGCTCTTATAATTTTTCTGATTTCTTCGATAGTAGTGCTGTAAACATTTCTAAAAAAATCGAATGCATTCGCGTTCAACGTTCATTGACAAAAATCGAACGCGTTCAAGTTCACGTTCATGAACCGTTCAAAATTTTATGATAAATTTTTTTTAAAATTTAATCTAATATAAATAAATGTCTTATATTTTTTAACACAATATATTAACCTTGAAATATAGCAAATAAAAAGATATTTTTATTTATAAAAAATTTTTCTTATTAATTTTTAATAACAATATTTTTCAAAATTTTTATCTGATAGACAGAAACGTTTGGCAGTTAATACGGCATTAGCTATACTAAAAACGCGCTTAAGGGTAGATGGGGGATTGCTGTATTATACTTAATAAATAACTCCTTTAACGTGGGGAATTTATCAAAAACATTTATTGTTTTGTTATTTGCTTCAAAAAATTGAGATAAGTTATCCTCCTTCAATTCATTCTCACTTCCTCGACAAAAAAAAAGGATATCTCGAAATTCAGTTGCATGATCATTTTTAAGATTTTCAATGCATATTTTTCAATAACACTATAAGTTTATTTTTAATAGGGCTTTCTGTGGAAGTTTTATCCATGGCCATTGAAGCTTGTATACTGGATGTATAATTGCAGAAAGAACATATTGATCTTCTTATATATGTTCTAATCTTTAAAAAAATAAAATATATGTAATTAACTGAGAGTGATAGCTTTAATACATTTTATTAATTCCCTTTAATACTTCGTCTATCAATGGTTGACCATATTTGAGGCCACTAATTTTTTTTAGTTAAAATAACTATCGTTATTGTTGGGGTCAAATATCCCAAATGCATTTTTTCTTTAAATTTTAATGGTTTTACTTAGTTATATTATATAAAAAAGTAATTAATATTACAAACAAATGTCGTTTTAAATTGGAACTTGAAGATGTTGACACTTATATAATACTTTTTGGGCACATTTTAAACTTGGTAAGCATTGAATTAGTCCCTTCAATATTAGATGTTACTGTAAAACATTTATCATATTTGGCCAAATGTTAATTTATTTGATTTTGGATTTCAGAATCAGACAATGAAGATTAAATAATAATATCCATGCTTATGCTAATCTATTAAATTAAAATATAAACAATAATATTCAAATTAATAAATTATAATAATGGCGTGTTAAAAAATTGAAATGTGAAAAGGAAATACCGCCGATTATAAAATATAAATAATACTTTTTTCTTAAAAAATTCGGATTAATATTAATTTTCCAAATAAATAAAACTAAAAAGTGTTTTTTAAAATTGAACGAATGTTAAATTCGAATAAAAGGAACGTTCATCATTTTTTACTTCATCATTTTTTACAAAAAACGAACTTCGTTCATTTTTGAAACCAACCCATTGAATACTAAAGATTGAAAGATTGAAGAGGTATGGATTAAGCGTAGGGGTTAAATAATGTTAAAAAAAAATTTAAATAAAATTATCACCGATGTGTTCAAATATTTATGAAAGGAGATAAAAACAAAACCATGTGGAAATAAAAGTGATTCGTCTATAATTATATGAGCAATTAAAATGTGGAAGAATTATCACAGTTCCTTAATTTTAAGAGAAACCTTTAAAAAGATAAAAAATTAATATCTTTGAATTGATAAACTTTTTCTAAAAAGGGGCTTTTCGGGATATTTTTGGGCCAAAATGTTTATCTTTTCTGGCCTCAAGTCTTTGAGACCGTGCAATAAGAAGCGGATCGCGCCACCCAAACCCATTAAAGAGCAAATAATTGTTTTTCATTGTAACTTGAATTGCTAATTATTTCTATATAATACACTGTATGAATGGCATTTTAATTCTTAGAATAGATTTTTTCAATAGTAATAGTTACCCTTTTCATAATGCGCCGTATATTTCATTAATATATATTTAACCATTTTTTTTATAAGTATTTTGAGTTATGGAAAATTATCCACAAACTTTTTAATATCAAATCCTTAAAAATATCATATATAGACCAGCAACCAATAATAAAGTTATAAAAATTTGGGCGGGGCCTAAAAATAATTTTCCCATCAAATCTGGTAAGAATGATTAGAAATAAATTTAAATATTGAATTAATCAGTTGGGAGATGTTAAAAAATTATTGGAGGTTTTAACATTCATTTACTGCCTATATTTTCAATTTATTTATAAAAAATTTGCAAAATTAGTTGATAAATGGTGAGCCCATATACCATTTATACTCTAATAAACAAATTCCTAACTTTTTTATTTTGATTTAAATATTAAAATAGATCAATTTAATAACAACCCTAAAATATGAATATAATTAAATATGACTTAATGATAAGATTATTTTTTATTTATATCTACCCCAAAATGGATTTAGTGCTGTTTCCGATTAGTCAACTATAGGGTTTTTTTAAATACTAAAACTCGATATAAATGACCTAACAATTTTAATTTGCTTTAGTTTTCGCAGTAGTATTGTTAAAAAGACCAATTCGGTCTAC